AATTTGACAACTGGTTCGATACCGATTCTATTTTTAGACCTTTGACCCTCTTCCATTTTCGGGTCAATGCCCGGGATTTTTAAAATTTTGGTTGAAATCAACCTTTTTTTTCTTCAAAAATTTCAATTCTTAAATAGGTTTAATAATTATAAATTTTTCAATTTTTTTTATATTTTGAATTTAATTACTTTTTTATTCTATATTTATTTATTTTCTCATTTATTTATTTTAGTGACAAATAATATATCATAAAAATATTTTACCGACTCAATTATTTATAACAAATCAGATCGGATTGTTATCGGATCGGATTGACCTATATCCATATTTGATCCATTTAGTTAACGGATTATCGGATTCGGATCTTGATCAGGTTATCGGACTGAGACTCTAAATTCATCGCCCATTAATTTCGTCGGATTCGGATCAAAATTCAATCCATTGACAGTTCTAATGAAGGCTAAAGTTGACCTTAAATGGGGTCCCCAATAATTAATGAATTGATTAGAAAATGAAGTTACAATATATGATTGGTAGAATTGGTGGGCGCTGACGTAAGTCCTTTCGAATGTCATTAATTAATTGAATATTTTGATAGTGTGTAAGGAATATACAATCATTATGTCTCCTCAAATCACGATGGTCATAAATATGAGCCGACCTTGTAGATTTGACCTTAATTTAGAATGCGGTAAGTGCGTATAACAAAAGGACTTTATTATGTCGTAGGTCAGATGTCAACAAATTAAATCCCAATTAATGAAGACAAGAATTGGAGATGAGGAGAGGGGTTGACGGGCCGGTCATAGGCAATAACTTTTTTTGCTCATATCTAAAAAAAAACATAAAATAATTAAATATGTATACTAAATCAAAATATTTAGTGCAAATAATATAAAATGTGTAATTATATTTAACTATTATATTTATTTGCAAACTGGCAATTATATATGAGTGTGTTTGAACCACATTATTTTGGAAAAATGTATTCTGGAATAGTAGATTTATGGAGAATGTGTGGTTGAAAAAGAAGGAAAAATTATTGATGTGATGAAAAATATTATTTTATTGAAGAATGTGTGGTTGAAAATGAGTTGAAAAATGAAAATGAAAATTTTAATGTATACCAAACCAGGGCTTAATTAAAAGAACATTTGCATAGATTTTTAGTACAAATTCTAATGTTTAATCAGATAGTGTTAAAATCTATTGACTAGAAAATTATGATATAATATTCGTATAGTTTTCCAAATGGATTGAGTAAGTTCGAAGTTAACGAATCAAATTTTGGAAGAAATTACTCTTTTTCCTACCCTATGGCTCATAAAAATCAACTTAGAAATTCAATGAACAAAGTTCAGAAATTATGATAGAATATTTAAAGGATTATTCATATAAGTCGAGAAAGATTTGAGAAATGATTCTTTTCATACCTACGGTGATAATATCGAGGCGGCTTGTCTGAAAAGATGAACTAAAAATTCAATGAACAAAGATTTTTTTCGAATATTCAAAAGATTTTATATAGAAAGTAAAAGCAAAAGGTTGAGAATATGAGAGCAGCGATTGATAGTTGCATATATAAAGCTAAATTTGGGAAGAAATGATTTTTTTTCTACCTACTTATGTTAAAATCGAGTAGGCTTGTTAAAAGGTGAACGACAAATTTAATGATCGAATGTTCTAATAGAGCGTGTGAGTACTTTTACCCATTCATTTGAAGTTATTAATTATTGATTATTAGGATTGTATATTAAAATATCAACTTTGCTCTAGGAAGTAATCTACATCTTTTTACGCTAGCTATAGTTTTCATATTTAAGTGACGCGAAATTTTAAGCTTAACATGCTCTTAAAAAATGATAACTCGTATAAGAAAACTAGTCTTAATATGTGACTAGCTCATTTGAAATTTATATGATTCAATTTGCTCTTTTGAACTCTTTATAGAGTTACTTAAGTCCTCATATTGATTATTATTTCAATATCTAATCTATATTAAAGGTTCATTTGATATGATTTTTGAAAAGTCAAAAGGTGATTTTGAAATCAAACGGTTAATTTTGAATCATTTTGGCTAATTTATGAAAGCACTTCTGACAATTAGAAGAAGTTTTAGAGGATGCTGATTTTAATGTGATTTCACCAGCTTCCTCTAAAAAGACTTATGAAATAAAAAGTGCTTTTAAAAATTAGTTTTCAAATAAAAATCAAAGTACCTTTCTTCAAAAGATTTTCTATAGAAAGTAAAAGCAAAAGTCATGTCAATCGGGGTTCTTATGCGAGTTAATGATTATGATTTTTTAGTCATGACAATGAGGCGGCTGAGCCGACTAGGCTCTTAAACCCACGAGCTCGGCTAGAGTTCGTGAGCTCACGAGCCGACGAGCTTTTTGAAAAAAAAAATTTAATACTTTTTCACCTTTTTAAAACAAATTTCTTTAATTTTTCACGAGCTCACTTGCGGCTCGGCTCGGGCTCAAGCTGAGCGACTCGCGGTTTGTGTTTTCACAAGTCGAGCGGCCTAGCCGACGAGCTGCTCGGCCCATTTGCCATCTCTATG